GCGCCCCGGCGGCTCCGCGCCCCGGGAGTGCGGAACGCCCGCGGGAATGCCGCCGGGGCCGGGCCGGGGCCGGGGCCTGGGCCTGGAGCGGTGTGCGAGCACAACATCGGCCTTCAGACGCTCAAGTGTCCAAAACTCAGCGCTGTTTAATTAATCTTGCGCTGAATTTGCCCCGCAAGGAGGTAGTTTGAGAACAGTTTACTTAAAATTTATGGTGTCTCTGGAAGTTGGCTAATGTTCTAAAGGAATGGTCGCCTTCATGGTGTCTCAGTGGTAAATCACACGCGTGGTGTAGACCCTCCGTGAGGCGAAGTTAAAGTCTCCAGTGTTTGCTGTTCTAAAGTCTTTTCCACATGAGGAAGGTTTTGCAAGAAATTACCGGTTTATTTGGTCTGGCTCAGTTTTATCTGCCATAGCAATGCTGAGTTCGGTGCTGTAGTTTGGATATGGTGAAATTACCTCAGTTGCAAAATACCGCTCTGAAATGCAATATTTACAAATTATGATCGCATCCTGTTTGAAGTGATCTGTAGGTCACCCATTGTAAGTAAGATAGGAATTTGGTTTTGCCTTTCTTCAAAATATTTACATGTTGTACTCATTCGGTAAGAAAATTGATAGTTTCCTAAACAGGGCTCATTCTTGATAGAGCTGGAATTCTGTTAATTACTGGAAAAAATAAATACGGCTTGACTCAGTACTGGTGTTTCCTTTCTGTACTAATCTCTCATCAGGTGTGTATTGATATTTCAGTTGGTTCATCCAGTCCTTCCTTTCTTCTCCATTAAATCATTTCCTACTATACTTTCATTCTGCGGTCTTCCTGATTCCAAACAGATTAGTCAATCTAAATCCAACTCCTTTCCACCTCAGCTGATTTTTTTTCATTGCCTACTGACAGTATCAAATCATTACTAAAAATTAAGACTTACCTCATAACCAGTTTAGCCTTTTGTTTAGCTCCAATCTTATGGGACATTCCTCATTCCTGAGTACATGGGAGTTACTGCAATTTAATTCCGTTACTATATTCAGCCAGCATTTTGACAACTCAACAGCAAAGGAAAACATTTTTACTCTTTCCTTCCTCCCTGACTTCCCTAGATTAATAAGGTTGCTTTTTAAAAATCCCTTATCCTGAAGTTGAACATAGTATTTTATTTTAAATCCACATTGACACAGTCATTTCATCTTTGGATGAATTATAATGTGTACAATAATAAGACCTAGAATACAAAAAAAATTACTATTCTGGATAAATATTAATAACACTGCATGTGACTTTTTTTTATGAAAGCCTTGTGTGTGGTCCAAACAAAAATAGGAAGAGCAAGGATATGGATAATGTGAGCAGTCTTCATTTGCTACATATGTCTGTACAATAAATCCATAGCCAGGAAGCTCAATAGCCTCAAAAATATTTGTTCCCTGCCTGTCACCTGTTTGTGCCTATACTATTTAGTCAGGTTTTTTTTTCTTTTCATTAATGCTTTAATTCTCATTTAACCCATTTTGTTCTGCCTTTAGTACACACATAAGTTTCAACTAGACCTCTGCATCTAGAAAACCAACTTGTTTAGAGTTGGACAGTGCAGTAAATTATTAGCTTATGGTTCTATTTAACGATTATTTTTAATTCCTGATGAAGCAGATCTGTAAAAACATAGTCATGCATTTCTTGTTTTCTAGATTTGATCTCTTATTTACAATTTACCTGAGAGCCCTAGAATGTTGCAAAACTTTGTTATAGCACAGTAACTAAAATGCTTCTAATCTGTGAACATTGACTAGAGTGGCTTTAGCTTGAGACACACAAATCTGAATAGTAACTCTACTGCAAGAAGTCACAAACTCAGGCTGTGTTTCTTTTTTTATAATTTATGTGTCTGAGTATGTATAAATATTGGTGAAATCTGTGACAAAATAAATTAATGTCAAGTGCTTCTATCGACTGGAGGAAAACTTAAAATTAAGTTTAAAATATGTTTTATATTACTGCATGTATAATCTGCTGGGTTTTTATCCGCAGAACAGGTATTGCAGGCTTTGCCTCTCTAAGAGGTCTCAACCAGTATCTGAAAAGACAGCATTTAGGGGTGTGACTCACAAACAGGGACAAAGTACTTTGAGGTGTCTCCTGCGGTTACGCTGCCTGCAGAGCTGGCATGGCCTGGAAGCAGCTTCTGAACCACCATGATTTCTGTTTCAGCATTTTGAAGCAAACGAGGCAGGTCTCAGTTTGTCTTTAAATACAAGCCTGGAGTTACCTGTGCAGGTGGGGGGGGAAAGCGCCTGCTCGGGGACAGTAAAGTCAAGATGCATCTCTCTTCATGAGCCCAGGTCCTTAGTCTTCTGTGTATGTGCTGGTTTGGAAGGAGTTAAAGCCATCGTATTGCAAATCATCAATGACTGCATACTCCATCAGTCTACCAGCATGAGTCACACAAGCCAATCATGATACCAGTTTTCTCTTGTAGATATTTATCTGCGAGAGATGCTTTAATGAGGGTGAGATCTAACACAGTGTAACAACTCATATTTAAATCACAGTGGTTAAACTGTGTGTCGTTTGTGTGCATGCCAAGTTATCCTTACAGAAGAAATATTTTGTAAAGGAAGTAAATGGGAGTGCTACTCAGTCACTCCAGAAGGTAATTTCTTTTGAAGAAAAGGTTGCGATTTTAAGACTTTTTACATCTTCCCCAAGTGATACCTTCTGAGGATTTTGTTTCTAGAGAGTCTTCATTCTGTGATGGAGTTTTGTAGGTGTTTTGTAGATGAGGTGTGCATGAAGCACACACCGTCGCCCATTCTGGACAAAATTTCTAATGCATGGTTGACTGTGATGAGGAGAGCTGTACTTGACAGTCCATCAGGATCTGGCTAGTCCCTTCCAGTCTTCTGTGCCTAAGCGCGTTTGTGATGCAGATAGCTGTCCAATGACCTGGAATGAGACAGCCTATTCATTTCTGACAAACAGCCTTCAGATAGTAATGTCTTTTCATTACTAAAATGAGGAAAATAATGGCAGAGATATGAAAGGCTTGCATCTTGTCACCAGTTCCCTCGAACCATTTGATTCTCTATGCATAAAAGCATCATAATTTGTGTGTATGTGCATGGACACACGCAGCCGTGTGCGTGAGAATGCACAGGAACGCACAGGAGAACTCTGGCTGAAGAAACGGAGCTATCTTGGTAAGCAGAGTACTCATTATTGATCATAAAAGGTAGCTTCTCAAATTGATAGATAGAACTTGATGAAGGAATGGGGATTTCTCCACTCCATGTATGCACTCCACATATGCACACATATGCTTTTTGTTTATTGTACTTTGCAGGTCTCTCTACATCCTACACAGGCAAAACTTATTTTAACGTGTTGTCTGTATCTAAAAGCTAAGATGAAAGGAGAAGAAATAAACTTTTTTTTTTGCCTAAATTGTGCAATCAAATGTTTTCATTTCTTCAGATTATTTTTTTCAGATTTTTTTTAAAGGAAATAAAAAATCTTATGATAATTTTAACACTGGAGTTATTTTCCAAGTCAGATTCCACAGCTATACGTGCATGCTTTTTGTAATTTATTTTTTTTATTTGTACATCTAAATCATAGAGATAATTTATTCTAGTATTTCTGCACAAAATTGTGTGCTTGTGATGCCATTTTTATGAGAAAAATTTATGAATAAAATTTTGGAAGCAATCTTTGGGACTGTTGGGAAAATACTTACCAAAAAGGCTAGTGATATTAGTGGACCTCCCCCCTACAAATGTGCACACCTGTTCCAAAACTGTGATTAATTATTGTCTCACAAATTACAGATAAAATTTGGAGGTTTATCTATGTTTCTTCCTCCATTAAAATGGGATTTTTTTTTTTCCCTAAATATATCTATTCCAGGTAAAAGCATTTTTGAGGGTTAGAGAAGTGTTTTCATATGTAAAACAATCCAGGCCATTCCTAAGAGTGCACAGAGATGCAATAATCATAACATCAGAAAGGGATTAACTATGTAGAAAGATTAGGTTAATAAAGGAGTCATTAGGATTAGGGGCCTATCCTGCAATAGGATCCATACCTATAAATTCTTCTTATATTTTTTCTGTCATGTATTGCTTAACAGTAACTCCAAACTCTGTCAGTGCTCCAGGTGTCATTTTACTGTCCTCCCATCCTCAGGTCCCACTGGAATATCTGCAGACATGTTAAGCCTCAGGTTTTTACTCTTCTAGGATGGATACGTGCACCTTGCTCATTTCTGAGAACAGGACTTACACTTCTTACCACTCATGACTAAATTATTAAAATAGTTTGTAAACAAGTTGTTCAAAACAGAGCACTATTAATTCAGGCTTCAGCAGGACTAAACACAAAGACGAAGCACAAAACTAGGAATTAAAAAGAAAAGCTGTGTATGTCTCTGCCATTATCTGTTTAGCTCGGACAGGCATGTTTTGCAGTTGGTAGCAACAAGGTGCATAGCTTTTGGTCTCCTGTGTTTCAGCTTGCTGTTTTTTTCATGGAAACATGAATGCCCATCAGCATTTCTTAGGTTTTTCCTCTTTCAGACCACAACCCTTTTTTAAGTAGCTTTAGGTTTGTTCTGCTCGTGAGGTTGGTCCTTGCTGAAGTGCCTCATTTTGAGGTGGAAGGACTTGTTCTTTCTTACCCTTACTGCTTCTAAGTTTTGAATCCAAAAATGACTAACTCATCTCATTGTTTTACTTTTGTGTATGCCTCAAAATATTGACATCTCTTCTTATTGCAGCTCTAATTTCAAGCATGGAGGAATACAATGGGGGAGGGGGAACAGAGCCACGCATGAAATGCAGAAGAGGTTGTATAGGCGGTATTCTCCCATTTAGTCATAAATGTCAGCCTAAGCTGCCATCCAACAGTAAAGATCCTGTCATACATTTCCACCTGGGCCCTCTTCTGTTGTAATTACCTGGTTCATTTTTTCTCAGAGACCCACTTGGGCTAGTTCAGAAGCCCAGGGAAGAGTGGAGAAGCCGTGTGCACTGCTGCAGCTGCATGGACCACATTCACCAATGTCCGTGATTCTTCTGTTTGAGTGAATCAGCAGAACTGCACTCCTGTTCTGGACGAAGAGACTTCTCCTTGCCCAGTGGAGGTGAGAAAGCTCTGAGACTGTCACAGTTCCAAACTGGAACTGTCTTGTCCTGTGGATTCATCCTGGACTTCTGTTCCCTGGAGGTGCCCTATGGACAAGAGCAGATCAAAGAGGAATTTACAGAGTAACAGGGGTAAAAGCTTTCTTGCAGATGAAGGACAATGCAAGAGAAGAGTCCTCCCTGCTAGCTGATGTATCCTTTGATATTTTCCATCATCTGAGGGGCTTGCAAAGATTTAGGGGAGAAAAGGTAGTCCTGCTCATCCTGTGCCCTTTCAAATGGATTATCTGTTTTGAAGAGTTGTGTGTAGGGTATAGTCAAGGCAAGAAGAGGATTTAACTCTTTGTGTCTGATATTCACAATTAAGGCTGTATTTTTGCCCAAGGGCAGCATGTCTCTTAGAAAAGCATCCAGTCAAAAAATTATATTTTTTGGTGAAGGTTTCTTTAAAGCAACCTAATTGCTCCCAGGACGCTTTTCTGCGGGAACTTCTTTGTCTGTTGCAGGAATTTTCCTTTTATTGTTCACTGATTTTTGTGAATTTGGTGTGTGATTCCACACAGCCCTCCCAATATAATTTAAAAACTATTTAAAATCATATGGGTTATCTATCTTGTCCTTTTCAAGGACAAGAAATGCCCCTACTACATCTTGTAACATTTATACTAATTTACACTACTAATAATACATATTTGGCAAAAATTGGGAATTTTGTTTTCAGTTCTTTAGCTTTTACAGTTACAATTTTAGTGTTCCATATGGTTTCCTTACTGGCAATGCTTCTGAAGCTCTAGATAACACTATACACAAATTATCAATCTTCACTTAGTTTAGAAATTAATTCTCAGTATCAGGTCTAATTAGAGAAGATACATTTAGTATAGAAATCTAAACTTCTTTGTGTATGGAGTAAATCACAATACACAAGGAAAACAAGGTCAGTTTCTTGAGATTCAGGTGATGATAGTAGAGGTGGCTTTTCTTTCAGGAAATAATTAGGCGTAAACAATGATTAATATCAGCACAATAAACTCGGATTTTTTTGTATCACTGTCATGAAGGATTTAGATGGTATCACCCATGAATGGTATATAGCCAGTTTATTCAAGTTGTTAATAATATGAAGCACCACCTATTCAGCTTGCCTTTTCATAAAAGAAAACAGCATATCTTTAAATATCTATGAGGTTGCTGACTCAGATACCTATTTTTGGTTTTCATATTTTTTTCCCTTTCACTTTTCTGCATCAAAATACACTGTTTTTACACAAAGAGCTACACTGTGTCATTCTGTGAATTTCCCATATGTTTTTTTTCAGCGTGCGCTTTCTCAGAGGAGCTGAGATCTTAGGAGAGGGTATTTGCATTATACCCTGGTAAAGCACCAGGCAAGGACCAACTCCTCAGAACTGGAATGAAGAAATAGCTTTTGCGGTAGTTGCTGTATTTCCAGTGCATAAACCTCAAGAGCATTTTGGCCAATAAATCTGTGATCCAAATAGAGAGTCAGATGGAAAACATTACAGCAACTGTTTTCTGGCATGAAAGAAAATAACCCAGAACTTCTATTTCAAAAAATTACCTTTTTTTTGCTTGCTTTTCAAAACATGAAAGATTCCAGTTTTTTAGCAAGCAGATTGTGATAAATGCTGTGCTTTTTTTGATAGCCTTCTCCATTGAAAATTGCATGTGGCACATTTATATTCTGCAGTGCAGTGGCATTGCGTGGATTAATATTTATTTAGATTTAGATTAAGCTGTTTTGTGTCATTAACATGAGCAGATTTCTTCTTAGCTTTCAAAGACCCACAGTTAGTCTTCATTAAGTGCAGAATCTCCTTTTCACATCAGTGTGGGAAATCAGACAGGAGAAAGCAGATTTCAGTGTCTCCTGGTCCAGCTCAAGATGTGTCCTAATCCTGCTGGTAGCCAGATTATTTAGGAAGCTCTCATTCTACATTAAAGAAATGGTCACGCGCTTCCCTTTGTCCTCTCTTCCTTCAATGTGTTGTCAGGATGGTATGAAAGAAACTGTTAAATACAAGTCACAAATAAAAAAAATATATTAAAAAAAGCCCATAGGCCAATTTTGCTCTTCTGAGCTGTATTAACCTTATGTTTTGGTATTGGGCAAATTTCTGATAATGTTCTCAAACTAATTAGCATGCGGGAAGAAAACGGTGAGTAGATCTGTGGGTTTTGTTTACTCTTCCAATTCCCAAAATCCTCCAAGGAAATTAAACTGCCTGATAATGTGAAAGCTATTATTTATTAGATAGTTTGTGATTATTTGTGTGAGGAAAAAAATACGGAGTTTTACTCATGGGATGCATGCAAAAGATTAGAGATTTTTTTATCTTATATTCTGTGTTTTGGCAATAAACAGTCTTAAATACGTGCAGATCTGGGCTGGCTTTTAGGAGGCTTTGATAACTTCTATGTATACTTTTTTTTCTTTTTTTTTTTCTCCTCACAGAAATACTCTTGATTCCTGCACCCCATATTCAAATCTGCTGAGATCAACAAAAAAGAAATGATAAAATTTTTTCTTATGGTAAACAAACAAGGGCAAACAAGGCTCTCTAGGTATTATGAGCATGTAGAAATTAATAAACGCACAATGCTGGAAGCTGAAGTAATCAAAAACTGTCTTTCCCGTTCAAAGGATCAGGTAAGTTTTGTAGTCTCTCCCCTAGCCATCTTTTTTGATCAAAATCTCACATCTTTCATGTCAATAATTCTGAAAACACATCAGTTTGCTTTGCCGGTCATTATTTCATTTCTATCCATGAAGAAAAATATTCTGTTTCTAGATTATGTGTTCACTCAGATGAACTGTTATTCTGCATTGAATAGATCTGTTTCTCTGAGGCTTACAGAGATTTTGGGGTTTTGTGTATCACTGTCATGAAGATTCCTCTTCTTCGTTTGAAGTCAGAAGTCCAGGAAGAATTCATTCCCATTAATTGCTTCTCAATAGAGAGGTATTACTCCTGCTTTGCCAGAAGGTGGTAGGGATATTACTGACAGCTCCAAGTTTAAATAAAAAACTTAGGAGAAGGGATTTCAAATCATGAAAGCACTATTTAAAACACAGAGTTTTTTGCAGATACAAATTTTTAGGCCTCTGTGTTTGGCATTTTTATTTTTAAGAAGTGTTCACACTTTCTGCAAGAAAAGCCATTGGTTCTTTAAGAAAAGTAGCCAACTTAGCAAAACTTTTAAATACATTGACTTGCATTGGAGGAGAAATCCATGACCTGGGATGCGAGTGGGGGTTTCTGGTTTGTGCTCTGAAGTCAGCTGCTTTATTTTTCATTAATTACACGTGCCCTTGAACAGTGGTCCTCACATATTTCATTCTAGAAAACTGCAGAAAAAAAAATAGCAGTTCCTATGAAGTACCTTAGTTCACAGAATGGACAGGCTAAAGACATTAACTGTCTCCATACTGCTTGCAAGTGGATCTCCAAACTGAAACTTCACCAAAAGAGCTAAGGGAATGCTGCCATTTCAAGGACTAAGCAAAATAATACTTAAAAAAATGAAGGCGGCACCCTTGTAAAGCAGGGTATAACAGCACCATCTGCTGGCTTCTGTCTTCCTGTGAGACATGCAAATTGCCCCCCTGGGTCTAGAAGTCTAATACTCGTAATTTTTATATTAAAATACTGATAATTTTTTTTAAACATGAAAATTACCTTGAGGTTGTCTCTCTTGGAAGTGCTTCCAAATGAAAATTTAGGGGAAGTACTGACTTACAGAACTGAAGTGACTTGTTTGGCATTGTAAATTCCAGTTTTTCCATTTCAAAAGTGGCAGCGTGTTTTCTGCCAATAGATGAAAAGTTTTGTGTAAGAGCTATTCTACCAAATTTCTTTCAAGTCAAAATCGTTGGGTAGATCTTGGGAAATCCAGTCTTTGTGGGCCTTCCGAAATGAAAGCTCAGCCTCTTTGAGCAATCTGTGCTTTACAGTGTTGTATGTTTAAATGGCAGCTGCTACGTCTGACTCGTTTTGCTTCTGCCCAGTGCTCCTTCATTGAGTACAAGGACTTCAAGCTGGTTTACCGGCAGTACGCAGCCCTCTTCATAGTCGTTGGAATCAACGAGACAGAGGTAAGAAATTATATACACGTTTGAAATGAGAACTTGTAGTTGCCATGGGCAAGAACTCAGGTTTTTTTCCAGCATGGAATTTTGCAATAGCAATTACAGAATTTCAAGGAGTTATTGCAAAAAGACATTTTAATTTCTGTGAAGAGAAAATGTATTTTTGGCTTCATTCTATACCAATAGACTAAACTGTTATCATGGGGCAATCTTCATGAGCCTTATACTGATTCTGCTTCTATATTTATGTTTGATTAAACAAATTTATGTAGGGTGAGTTTTCTCAACAAATGTTAGCATTACAGCCAGATCAGCTGTCTCATCTGCAGTGACTTCCTAACTGCTCACTGATTTCAGCTTCCTTGGCCAAAGAAAGAAATTCTCATCCTGTCAGCTGGAAAGATGCCTATTTATTGTATTTTTTAAAAAAGCGGGGTGGGGTTGGGCGGGAGGGGGAAGGTATTTGCCTGAAAATTGACAAGTACTGTTATTTCATCTGTTCAGGCTGAGACTGGAAGGCTTTAGTGTTTACATTGATTACCAGTTCTCAGAAATCAATTCAAAGCTTATTGTTGGAGACTTTAATTGGGTGGGGTGGAAGGTAGCTGCTGACCACCACAGTGTCTTCAAGCCAGGTTATAACGGCATGCAATTTTGGCCAAATCCTTTTGGCTTTGCTACACCATACAAAAATTGCCCATCCTTACTCTGGTGGCCTCTGCTTGTGCACTTTGTTGTAGTTTTAGTCATTTTTCATACTGCACAAGCTGAAATAACACAAAGAATTCTATTACATTTTGTAGCTATTGATTTCATGTTCACTTGTTTTTAATTTAATTTCAGAATGAGATGGCAGTATATGAACTAATTCATAATTTTGTGGAAGTTTTGGACAAATACTTCAGCCGAGTGGTGAGTGAGACATTGAATCTATTATGAAATATTTCTTCTTTTTCAAAGCTTTAGTGAATATGTCATTTTGGGGAATAAATCAAAGGAGAAAAATTTTTTCATATTCATGTTGAATTTTGAATACTTTAGCATGAATATTACCACTGTGAAAAAAAAAAAGGAAGGAAAAAAAGAAAGAAAAAAAGAGCAGTATTAATTGATTTTTTCAAAGTAAAAGTAGATGTGGGTTATAAATCATCAGACAGGGAATACCAGAAATATTTCTGTTAGAAAAGCATGTTTTTATATGCTTATACTCAGGGGTTTCTTTGGGTCATCTACTCTTAAATTAGCCACTGGAATTTTATACATTTTAAATAAAGAGGTTTTTCTTTACAGTTCTTTTTTGCCGTTCGTAGCATTACATCCCCTAAATGAAGTTAATTCATGATAAAGATCGTGTAAGCATTAAGCAGGGAGCTGACATCACCCTCACTGAACAAGATCAGAAGGATGGAGCAAATGAAACCTCAAAAACCAGTCTGTACTTGCGCTCCCCACACTGTTGTCATGCAACAGCAGATATCTGATAAAACAGCTATTATATAGATAGTCAGTTTGTTAAGGATTCAACATCAGTCATGGCTCCAGTTAAAATGACGCTGTTCCTTTTGGTGGAGATTTTTTTGTTTGCTTGTTTTTACGAAGTTTGAAAATGCAGCATTATAATCCTGGTTAGAACATGTGCTATTTAATATAGGGTTTAGTAACAATCTTGTTAGAAACACATTTGCCTGAAACCATACTTCGGCACAATTTTGGTGTATCTGTGCTGAATGGTGTTGGATATCCCCCTCAGAAAAGAGGGCTGGATGGAGTTTCCTCCATAGTCCATGTACTCGAGGTAGGTTATTACGTTGGTAATTATACATACCAGAGACCAGTATGCAGGGTCTGTAACTGGTCTCCCAGTCCTAGTACCACGGCAGACACAGCAGAGCTCCCTCTGTGAATTCAAGGACATGCTTGAAAAAGTCATCTACACCCTTCACTGCATGGATGCCTGGCAAATGTCTTAGGCTGTTATCATCTCAGCTAACGTTGCACCAACCTCTTGTAACAGCTGGTACTAACTATATCACTTTCTGACTGCACTCAGTTCAGAATTTGTCTCTTAAAATTGTTACGATTGCAGTCCCAACCGAAGCACTGATAACCAGGAATGGAATTTGATCCTGGCAGTACAGGAATGCACAATAAATTTAGTCACATCTTAGTTATCTAATGGAGCTAATAGTTGCCAACCACTTCTCAAGTTTTATTTATTTTCTTCACTTGAGGCAAAGCAAAAATAGATGTGGTTCTTATACAGATAAATATAGTATATATAATTCCTTGACCACATATATAACCCAACCACTGATAGTTGTTAGAAATTTGCTGAATTCATCATGCAAGGGGCTTTTTTTATATTTTCCACAGTATTTCAGGTTTGAAACCAGGGGAACAAAAAGGGGAATGGTTAAAGACATCTCATGCCATTCTGTGGTTCTGTTTTTAATAGTATATAACATGATAAGTAGCAGAGCACTGAGGAAAAGGACTATAATTCTAGCTGGGGTTTCTGGCAGAAACCACAGAGCAAGAAAGTATAAGTCTGTACTATTATGGATTAATGTTCAAGATTTGCAGAATTTTAGCAGAATCCCAAAATATGATGATGACAATGGAGACAGAACTCTGGGAAAGGAAAGAACATCTGTCTCCTCTAGAAGGACATTTTGTCATCTATTATTTTTAGGCTTGTCAGCTTTAAAGATTCTCACATACTCTATTTATACCTAATGGAGTTTACAGAGCTTGAATTCAGATATCAGAGCAAACATTAACAGAATTAGGGGGAAAGCTTTCAGAGTTGTTTGCGAGATGTAATTCTGAGTCCTCTTCACTTTTATGTGGTTACCTGGGGAAAAACTCTGCATACTGTTCAGAATACCTGTTCCAGTGTTTTCAATTACTTTTTAATACTGAGGAAACTTAAACTTATCAGGCTCTTAATATTTTTGTGATGGATAAAAAAATTCAAATTGAAGAATAGAAGCCTGTAGACTAGAACTGGTCCCATTTAGAGCATCTTTAGACCATAGAAGTAATAGCAATTTTACCACTGGGAACTGTGCCTAAAACTCCAGTGTTAGACTGTGAATGGAAGCCATGTTAGCAAACTGAATTCTCTCTTTCAGCAGAGACTAGGGAAGCTCCACCCCAGCCGTGTAAGATCTTAACTGCTGAGGCTGTGATTAATTGTTTCTAAATTTAGACATTTAACTGAGGCACCTAAGTTAGAAGTTTGGTCATCCTAAGCTCCCATTACAGGCAGTGGAGACCGATGAGTATCTCGAGAAAGTGAGTCATGCCTCAAGTGTGCTGAGTCAACTCATCTCTTCTGTTGACTGCAGAGACACCACAAGGGCTTCTAACTCAGATATTTTGGTTAAATGAATAAAACTGCTTGGGGTAAATCCAGGCCAAGACTAGAAGGAAAGTGAAGTTGTATTACTGGGGCTGGAGAACAGTTAGAAGTGCTAAGGGTCCAAAGCTTGGAGTCCAAAGCTTCCCTCTCCTAACGTATCCAGCCATGGCTACCACAGCCATGGGTATATACAATGTCTAAATTTTGCTGTTGAAATTATTTGCAGCAACATTTTAAACTGTGTTTTTATATAAATTGTAAACTCAGCATTAAGATCCTGTTTTTGCAGATGGCAGAAAAGAGAATATGGGGCCGGAGCTGCCATGAGATGCTGGCTTTCCAACCGCTCACTCAGACGGCCCTGCCTGTATTCAAATTGTGACTTGTGGGTGATGTCAGTGGGTTTTTTTAAGTGACAATTTCAGAACATTAGCTTCTATTACGAAGACAGATAACACATCAAAGGCAAAGCAGTGCTGCAGGAAAGAGCATGTAATTGTACAGACCAGAACAGAAATCTGAATTGCTCTGAAATTTTGTATCGTTATTTTGCGCACTTTCTTTATGCTCTGAAGGGACATGTAATGTTCAATGACTATAAGATGAAAGATCAAATTGTAGCTAATGGTTGTCTACCTTTTTTCCTTGCAGAGTGAATTAGATGTATCCTTTTCAGTACCAGAAATCCATTTGTCTATCTCCTTGTGGTGTATGTTCCAGTTCATACTGTCTTCATAGCACTGACTGTCAAACACACAAGACAATGCAGAGGCTTCACAAGTTTTGCACCTACAGTAAGTAGCAGCTCTCTGAAAGCATGGCCCATATTCACAAGGGTCACCTGTTGAAATCCTCAGTCATTAAGATAAGCCTTGCACCATTTAAAGTAAGACAGGCAGAGCTTGTTTAGAGAGAATTAAGTACCATTAACACCTAGACATGAAAAGTTATATTCATGGGGAAACTTTAAGACTTAGCTAATTATTAGTTCAGGGGTTTACTTTTTTTCTTCATGTTTACAATAAGATAGATATTGAAATGAGTGCAGTAATAAGAGCTGAATGTTACAGGTGTGTCATGAGTCAAATAGCAGTAGCATCATTGTAAGATTAGGTTTGTGCTTTGACCTTGCTTCATGAAAGTCCAGGTGAGTTTTACTTTCTATATCAAGGGAAAGAGAGAAAGGCCTGGGAGGAAGAAATTTAGGAAACTAGCCATTGCCACAGATACCTTTTTCTTTTCCTGCCCCTACCTTTTACACAGCTGTTTTTCATGTGTATGATTTGCAGAGTATTAACTAAAATATTTTTTAAAATGAACTAAAGCCAAATACAAACAATTAAGCACAACTAGCAAGTAAATAAAATACAATACTGAATTCAAAGAAAATTAATCCAGGAGAATGTACCGCAAAACAGTCTTCCTCCTTGGTTCTTCCAATCCCACTGCCTGCTCGCTCTACTCCAGCAATCCTTATGCCTGTGGTTGCTGTTGGTTAAATGTAGAGCTACTGGTGGAAAGAATTTCAATTATACACCTGAAATACCAGGTTGCCACCCTGGAATCAAAAGTAATTTAGTTATTTAACATATGAAGAACATAGAAATATTCTATGATTTTTCTTGTAATTGTTCTTACTTCTTTACTGAAAAAAATAATCTAAAAAGAAATAATTAATTTCACTTTTGTAAATATTTTAATGCTTGCTACATGCTGGAGCTCTGTCTCACTTACTGAACTTAAATCTATATGCATGTATATACTGTCTGTATTTCCTGCCTGCCTTTGGTCATCGTTTTCATACCAAGAGGAATCTCCTGTAGTTACATGCTTACAGCTACACCAGTAGCCCCATTACTGGCTATATTATACATTTCAGGAGCAATTTTAAAATAAAACATTTTATTTCTATATATGTACAAAATAACTCTCCCATTTAGGAAAAGTGGCTTTTCATAAGTTGAGAGGATATGTAAAGTAGTTGAAATGAAGTGAGATACCCTCAACCTTAAATGTAAAGCAGAGGTGTAAGGATGAAGAAGTGGGCTGTTCAGGGTTGTATTTGTTTTTGACAACAGCTTGAATAGCTGGCCCAGAAGAACACGTAAGATCTGGACTACAGGCGTCTTAGACAGATGTTAATGCAGCACAAGCAACAATCCATCAATATGACTTTCACAGTGTGCAAAATGATATCCCCCACCCGGGATTAAACCATTTCCTTTGCCAAACAGGCTTAAGCTCACTCTGACGTTCAGTAGAGTTAGTCTGAATGCGAAGTATCTGATGGAGGAAGTACTGTCTGAATGTCTCCAACAGCAAACACCAAGTAGTATTTACAGAATCTTTGTATACAGAGTATCTGGTGGGTGACTGTCACCATTTCCTGTCTCCATGCTATTACTTTTGTGTACAGATCCATGGGAAGTTTATTTCAAAAGTGATAGTGGCTATTCTATATAGCAAGTAGTGTTTACTAACATGAAAAAAACAGTAGGAAATCACATGAAACCAAAACCCATGAAAAATAGATCATAATCATTGAAGGCTGTTCACTCACGTGCAGAGCAAACCCCCAGTAAAGCTACAGGCTGAGACCATCCTGCAGTTGCATGTGCCCCCGTGGCTACAGCTTCCCCGGCTGCAGCGCGGGACGCAGTGTTCCTGGCAGCACAGCTCCTGCTGCTGAGGCTCCAGCTTTTATTTAGGCCCAAACACCCAAACTGAGGCAGGGCAGTGGCATCTGGCCCCAGCCGGCAGCCAGCTGCCAGGAAGGGCACCTTGGGCACAAGGCAGAGACTGGGTCCAATCTGAATCCTGCCCAACAGGATTCATACGTAATATGTACATATGACATAGGTGTGTGTGATGCTAAACAACTGCAAAGTTATCTCACACACTGCACAAATGAGCACTGATTAGCTACTGGCCAACTGAGTAACTTCTTCAACTCTATAAAGCAGCCACAGTTTTTACAGAAGCTTTTGTGTGTGAATTGTAAAGCATTTAGCCGTTTCAGGATGTCCGCTTTCATTCCAAGAGTTGGTAACATACCTAAGGGTACCCGTGACAGAATGACATGACATTTCTAAAGTTGTTTGGTTTGTGTTTAGAGTATCTGTAAGTGGTGGTGTTGGGCCAGCTGAATGAACAAGAGCTGAAATTTTCCCAGGGGTGCGGCTTCCCAATGTGTCGGTAGCATTAGATGGGCCTCGCTTCTGTGTATGAAATAAGTGGGTGGGATTTTTGGTAACTCTAACGCTCCAGCTTGGATGGTGTAAGAGCCACTTTCTTGGTGCAATGATGACAAAAGAGACTACAAAAATGCAAGTGTTGCCACAGCAGCTTTGTAGGGAACGACATGCTGGTAAGCATGAGAGTTTCTAAACTTACAAAAAGTTGACTTTTCTAGTGCTTGAGCTGGTGAAGCAAAGCTTACTTAAAGACACATTATTATTAACTTACAGAAGAAACAGATACTTACGTTCCTCTTGTGGGAGGGGAGGGGGAAGACAGGGTGCTCTAGGACCAAGCATTTGAAGAATGTTGTTTTGATCCAAAAAAAACCATTACATTCCATTGCAACTAGCTGCTGCTGCTCCTAGGATAGATAAAAAGCTTTGATACAGGGAATGCTTCATGTGAATCAACTGTATTCTTCAGTCCCCCGTGGAATAACACTTTCAGAATACAGTGCATTTATGTAGTAAGAAAATTGAATGATGAATTTATTCCAAGAATTTATAAGGATACAGTTTAGTTTGTACTTTAAAATAAGTGGGTAAAATGGAAGCCTATAAGGATTAGCTTAAAACTGTTGTTCTAGAATATCACAGAACTTAAACCATTTGTCTCCTCTTTAATGTCAGCATAGTCATTTGAGGAAGAAATGGTCAGAAAGCATTAAATGCATCTCAGTGCCTAAAATTTGCCTGCCATTAGAAAGGCTAAATACTTAAAGCAAATGTTAGCAAAGATAAAATCAGAGTGTGTGACTCTAGCCTAAGAAAAGAAGCGACTCCAACTGATCTTGAGTTGAAGATGAACATCCAGGGTGGAAATCAAGGTTTTGTACTGTTGTATATTCAGTAACAAACCATCTGCCCCGTATGTACCCGTGCTGTAATCTACAGAGCTTGTGTTTGTGCTGCTGGGTGTGTTACCTGATCACAAGGTGTTGGCTGCACTTTATCATCTTCTAAGCCTGTACACACCCTGAATTACTTGCCTGGAAAATATGAGATATCTTAAAATGTCTCTATATGAAGAAGTTACTTACTACATGCAAGTCCTAAATGTGCCTTTTTCCTTTCCTTCCCCTCTCCCCTGCTTAACTATCTGCCTGTATGTTTTGGGGAAGGACATGCAAGACCGTGTCACATTTAGCTCCTGTACATGCCACAAAATCTCTTTGTGATAGTAGAAAGTACCCTTAAAATGACCAGAAGCCAGTGTAACATTTAAATACCAGGTGTAGGTGCCATTTACCTGTAGTGTGAGGTACGAGCAGCAGCAGCTGGATCTGGCAGTAAAAGGGCTCACCTTTTGCCCAAGCTGACAACTTGTTAAGGATATTTCTGAGCTGGGTCCTCTGAAAACTTTTATTACAGATGCAGAGATTAACACGTTTTCATCTACATACTTGTTGAAAAATCCCTGTTAGCCTCTGCACGGAACTAGTGAAAGTCCCTTAGTCCTCTTTTGTGGGCAGCCCGAATTCTTACTGGAAGTGGGACCTTAAATGAGAGCTCTGGGTGGAGCACACAGCAGTGCACACACCAAATAGAGCTTTTTCCTGTTGCCAGTTGCTCAAACTGGTTTGCTTTCCTGCTTTTCAGCTGGGTGTGGATTTATGGCTCAAGGGCTTTAAACCCAGAAACCTGGGGTCACCTGCCAAAGGAGAGACAGGTGGGGAGGATGAGCCTCGCCAGGCTCAGGGATACGGATCCCTCCCTGGCCAGGCATTCAGAGGGGAAGATGACAAGATGTAACTGTAGAGCACCATCATGAGACTTAGAGGGAGGGGAAAAAAGCCAAGGTTGCTCCCTCTGCAGCCTGACTGCTTGCCAAGAGCAGCACGGTAAAGGGAGGTGGGGAAGGAACCGAAAAAGGAAGACGGGCCATTAGGTTGAGGGTAGAGAGTAAAGAGTGCTTTGGGACCTCCCAAAACCAAGATGATAGGTCTTTCAGAATGATATTAGTATCCCCATTCAAACTGCAGGTGAAATCTCTGGTCCCGGAATGGTGACTGAGATGAATGGGTTACAGACAGACAGAAATCACACCACTGTTTTCTGTAATGGAGTAAGCCAGTTTTGAAATAACCTGGACTGCCCTGCAGGGGAAGTGATGGCTCATTTAACCATGTTGGGTTGGAGTGGAACAGCTGCAAGACACTTGCTGGTGTGAGTTCAGTTTTCCTTTGACATGGTGTCAGCTCCTTAGGAAATGCAGCAAGGGAAAAAGCACTGCAAAGTGTGTTTAAGTGTTTTCTGTCCTCTACATGTTTCAGGCAGGCAATATTTCTACTGTAACATTTGAGAAGAGACCAAGCCAGTCATCATTGTCTGAAGTAATGACTTGGGCTTCCAAATCTGAGAAAAAGGATCACAGAAAAATTCCTCTGCATTCCTAAGGACTGGCTTCAGCCCTGGTTCTCTAGAACTTCCGAATCATGAGATGGGTCTGGCTTTCAGTGCTCACTGCAGGGAAAATAAGGCTCGTAACTCAGATAGAGGAATTCCCTTCTCAAAGCCAAGTGCTAAAAAAACTAGGCACGGGAATGTTCAGTGTTACTTCACTTAGGTCGGAATTCAAGACACAGATTTAAGATGGTTCACTTTCATGAGCTTGCATCGTTGCAGCTCTGGTGGTTTAAGGGGTTGGCTTCCCACCACTTGCGTTCATCATTGAGGATCAGACAGATATAGAAGTGTGTGGCTGCTGTCAGATGCAGTTCTGTGCTCCCACTGTTCCTGCTCTCCGGCAGCCGCAGCCCGCTGTAGCTACAGCCACTGGAACTCGTGAGACAGAGCAGGCCTCTCAAATGCTTGACCGAGTTAAAAAAAAAAAAAAAAAAAAAAAAAAA